CCATCATATATCTGCAGCCAATAATGAATTAGAGTTGTACTGTAGAGCAGGAGAGGGCAGAAAAGGAATTTATCAGACAGTATTTTCTCTATTTAAAAGAAGCTGTACCCAGTCCTTTTTCTGCCTTTCCGTAGGGCTGTGGAACATTGTGTCAAACATGCTACCTATCTTACAGCCTACTAATGCACTGGCAGAAATAGGGCAAACTAGAATGTTATTTATTTACTCTTGATGTTGTTGCTGGGTGCCACTGAGTCAATTTTGACTCATAGCGACCCCATGTGACAAAGTAGAACTGTCCCATAGGGTTTTTTAGGCTGTAATGTTTGTGGGAGCAGATCACCAGGTCTGTTTCCTACGGAGCCGCTGGGTGGGTTCAAACGCCAACCTTCTGGTTAGCAGCTGGTGTTTAACTATTGCACCACCAGGGCTCCTTTTTACTCTGGAAAGCATGATTATAAAACACGGGGAGGTAAACTTACCTGGCAAAAAGAGGATGAGATGGGACTTAAGTTTACGGCAATGAGTACTACTGACCCCTCCAGTTCTCTGTGTGATTACAATATGGTCATTCACCGAAACCATTCACTAGATACCAACTCTGTGCCAGGCACTAAGCCAGGCACTGCAGATATAAAGGTCCGTCTGTCCTCAGGGAACTCACCGAATCAGAAGAGGAAGACATATGTGGAAACAGAAAAATGATAGATTCTATTCCGAGTACTGTTGGGGCACAAAGGAGAGGGGGGTCATTTCTCCTTGAGATGAAGAATGGGGTCAAGAATGGCATCTTAGAAGAAGTGACCTTAAGCTGAATCTTAACAGTTCAGTAGGGGTGTTCAAGCTGCTTCAGGCAGAGGAAACTGAGCTACGACAAGAGGCATGAGACAGCATGGGGATTTTAAGGAATTGCACATAGTTCATTATAGCTGGAGCAAAAGGCTCAAGGGGGACTTAGCAAGAAATGAGGCTGACTGGGAAGACAGGTTCAACGTAAGCACTTTATAAAACACTTCTGTTTAGTTTCTGATTCAATGAAGCAGCATTTCTTGATCATTTGTGTAGGAAGCACCATGTGTATCATGGAAAATTCACCAGGATGCGTTGCCAGCACTTTGCAGACATGACAGTGTTCAGCCTCAAGCTTTCTAGTGGCCAAAGGGAAATCTCAACTGTTTTTCATGTATTTGAGTTGAAGTTTTTTGATATGGTCCATGAAAACTAATATAAAAGCAGTGAGCTTATCACAGAAATGTTCCATGTTGTCAAGAGCCTCTGAGATTTCCACAACCATGAAAAAGAAACCTGGGAGTTTTGAAGGCATGGAGTCTGGAGAGGGGACCTAAGCACTGTCCAGTCAGGTGCTAGTGGGAAGAGGGGAGTGCACGGGTCTCCGAGCCTCCCACCCCACTCCCTGACTCCAGCTTTACACTCACCATGTCACAGATGCAAGTGAGCAGTTCAAAGTTTCAGAGTAAATAGTATCCTTTCCCATCAATGCATGAAGGTAGAGTATCAGAGTCTTCTCACACTGTGTTTTTAGGGTATTAGGGATTTCAGGGTATGGAGAACTTAGAAGGTGAAGGAATTACAGCTTCAAATTTCCAGTGAACATAAGAAATCAGGAAGCTTTGTTCATTCAGGCTTTGCACTATGTGCACAGTCAAGAATCTGCAGAAGCCCTCTGCATCTGCAAACATTTTGTGTTATAAAAAGTAATAAAGAAAAAAGCCACCTGTATATATATATATTTAAAGACATGAAGGTTTTGATACTTTTTTACAAAAACTACAAGAGAAAACAAATACCTGTACAGACCATGTGCTTTAAAGGTGTTTTGTTCTACAGGAGCTATTATTAATTTGGGGGTGAAGTACTGGTTTGCAAACTCCATCACATTGTACCCAAGTGGATTTTCCTTGTTTGTCTTCTCCTTCCCCCTGAATTACCGTATTTGATGTAACAGGCATGTTAGATGTTGGGTCACACTAGCCGTTTCTGCTTTTTGTCTTGTCATTCCGAGTTCTGTTAGTATCAGCTCTCAGCCTGGTTTCTCTTCCGGAGACAAAGGGACTGAGGGTGGTGTGCTGCATCTCACTCGCTGTACTGACATCATCTTGGTGAACTGAAAACCAAATGTGGACATTTATAAAATCAGTGCACTGTTTCTAGAGAGAGATTAAATTCATTTTTTTTAAACCTGAAAGTATTGTTTCATTGTGATGCTTTAATGAGGGGGGAGTGGACTATCATTGATTGAGTCTCTAATGTGTACCAGGTGTTTGGGATAAATTACCTCAATCTTCACTGACAATCTTGTGAGATAAATAGTATGAATATTATCATCCCCATTTTACAGATGAGGAAGTGGGTGAAGTAACTGCCCAAATTTATAGTTACTTTTAGCGCTCCCAGAGAGCACTTGCATATGCAGTGTTCTCCACCTGTAATTTCCTTCTCTTCATCTGACTAAGACCTATTTGTCCTTGAGGATTCCCCTTAGGTAATGCCTCTTCCAGGAAGCCTTCCCCAATCTCAGCTTGGGTTAGGTAAAAACTCTATGCTCCCACAACAATTTATGCCTATCTCTATCCCAATAGCAATGATTGTGAGGATGGCGCAGGACTGGGCAGTGTTTTGTTCTGTTGTACATAGGGTCACTATGGGCCAGAACCAACTCAACAGCACCTAACAACAACAATCCCAATACTTCTGCCCCACCCCTGACTCCCATACCATTGAGGAACTCCTTGATTATAAATCTTATAAACATTTCCAGCCCTATTTTCCCTAACCTG